ATTGTACGATTCTTCTTGATATATGATTGAACTATTGAATTGTATGATATGTGGATTATGTGCCAATAAAACTGTAAAAAATGGGGAGGGCAAATACAAGATCATCACAACTGGACCAATATGCAACTTAAGCATAAACAGAGAAATTATTGGGGGGAAAAAGAGAGACAGACTTTCTACTCCTGCAAAGAGTTAGTCTCAGACACCCACAGGGGCTTTTCTCCCCTGTCCTGTTGGTTGCTCTGGGTTGGCATCAACCCGATGGCAGGGAGTGAGTACATACTTCCATGTGTGGTGTGCCAGGACTTCTTTAGGAAGGCCAGATGGATGGGCATTCACATGACTTCTCAGCTTTTGCCACCACAAACAATACCAACTTTGACATGCCACAAGGACGAGTGTCAGTGTGATGTCTGTGTATGTGTGGGTATATCAGCAGGAGAAATTCTGAACTGGATGTTAAAAGAGCAATATATAATGATGGAAAATTTGAAATTATGAAGCAGAAGTAAAATAAAAATACCACATTCCTGCCACCAGAGATGATATATTTCTGTATCTTTTCTCTTTCTCTTTTTAAATTGCAGTATATGCAGTATATCCATATCTATCTATCTATCTATCTATCTATCTATCTATCTATCTATCTATCTATCTACCTATCTACAGAGATGCTGTCCATTAGCTACTGAAAGCCCCATGGTTAGCATGGAAGCCTTGTCTGTTACTGAAAACACAATGAGTAGCAGAACATTGTCAGCCACAGTACCAGAAGATGAGCCCCTCGGTCAGAATGCACTGGAGTGAGGAGCTGCGTTCTGAAAGCAGAGTCAACTGTATGGATGTGCACGGAGTAAAGCCTGTGGGAGTAAAGGCTAAGGACCTTCATTTGCTGATGGGGCACAATTCAAGATGAGAAGCAACAGCTGCAAACATCAGTTAACAATTGGAGCTTTGAATGCACGACTTTGAATCTAGGGAAATTGGAAGTATTTAAAACAGAAATGGAACACATAAAGATTGAGATTCTGGGCATTAGTGAGCCGAGATGGACCGGTATTGCCATTTTGACTCAGAGAATCATAAGGTGTACTACGCCCAGAATAACACAATCAAGAGGAACGGCGTGGTAGTCATTGTCAAAAAGGACATTTCAAGATCTGTCTGGAAGTCCAGTGTTGTCCATTACAGGATACTGGCTATCCACATACAAGGGAATCCAATCAATACAGCTATTGGGCAATTTGATGCACCAACCACTGGAGCTAGTGATGCAGAAACTGAAGGATGCTATCAACGTCTTCACTCTGAAATTGATCAAACATGCGATCAAGATGCATTGATAAGGATTGGTGATTGGAATGCAAATGCTGGAAACAAGGAGGAAGGAACACTAGTTGGAAAATAGGGTCTTAGTGATAGCAACGAAGTATGACAGAAATTTGCAAGACCAATAACGTCATCTCAAATGCTTTTATTCAACGACATAAGAGGCGACTCTACCCAGGGACTTGGCTAGATGGCATGCACAGAAATCACACTGACTACATTTGTGGGAGGAAAAGCTAGAGGAGAAGCTAGACCAAGACCAGGGGCCGCCGTGGAAAAGACCATCAGCTGCTCACACGTAAGATCAGGCTGAAGTGGAAGAAAATGACAAGCTCACGAGAACCAAAATATGACCTTGAGTCTAGCCCTCCCGATTTTGGGGAACAACTCAGGAACAGAGTTCTCTCGCAGGGACACGGACGACGATTCTAGACACGAGGTCGCAAGATG